CCCATTCATGTAAATGATTAACTGAAAGGGGATTATTCCTGGCATAAGTTCAACCAAAAAGAATTTTCCAGCCCTGAAAATCTTCTCCAACAGACTAGCATATTGTAATAGGGAATGAAACATTAAATTTGTGTTTGTGTAGTTCCATTTCAAAAAGAGTAACTCAATATCAGAGTGTTAAAAATATCTGCATCATGGATATAAAGATATATTTGTTGTGATAGATCTTCTAATCATGCTTTTTATGGAAATCAAAATGCATATTCAATATGAAATAGGAGTTGGAAAAATCTACTTATCATTGCTGTTATTTTATGGTAGGTGAGGTAAATTCTGGCTTTGAGAAAAATAATGTATTTTAGAATTCTACTGTTTGTTTTTAGCAGCTTCTGCTGGTATATGCAAGGTTGAAATTCTTATAACTGTTATAAATCGGTGGCAACAGAGGCCGTCAGACACCTCTGCTTACGACCAGTTCCTCCAGCACATGCACTTGCAAGATTGTCCTGCCAGGTGTGCAGCCCCTTCAGGTCAGGCAGAGCCCACCTTTTCATGCTACCACCAGAGTTTCAAAACTGTACTTTTTGTTATGTTTTAAAGTGTAAAAGTACAGTAAAATGTCAAAATCTTCCTCAGCCTTTCCGCCCATGAAAAGTCTTGATGAGTTGAGGGGGCTGTTTAAGGTTACTCAGAGCTGTATGCATTTCTGAACCCAAGGTTTTAGCTGGTTTTGTATGTTTGTAGAAACATAGAATGGTTTGGGTTGGAAGGGACCTTAAGGATCATCTAGTCCCCCCCCCCCTGCCATGGGCCGGGACACCTCCCACTAGCCCAGGTTGCTCAAAGCCTCATCCAGTCTGGCCTTGAACCCCTCCAGGGATGGGGCATCCACAGCTTCTCAGTGCCTCTACAACCTTGGTCTGTGGTTATATGTAAATATGCAATAAGGGGTTGGATTTAGTTTTCATAACCCAGTGAAATATATTCTAAACAGCTGCTTTAGGAACTACGGTAGGCTAATGGTCTATTAAAGTCAGAAGGTTTAATATATGCTTTGTGGGAAATGATGAAGATATTCAGATACTTTGGACCAAGTGGAATCCTCAGGCACACACACTGATCTTGGTGCAGGGAAGTCTGGAATGAGTTTGCTCCAGGTAATTGTCAGTGTTGCACAATGTTTCTGAGAGAATATATGGAAAAAGTGTTAATCCAGATGGCAGCACACTGCTGAGATCTACCTGGAAGCCCAAGTGGTGCTTCCTAACCTAGGCTCTGCAGAGCACTTCCCATGAGTGAGTGCAGCTGCATCTATTCATTCATCCTCAGGTAACAATCCTTCCAGCCCATGGTGTGTGCAGTCCCTCAGAAGATTTTTGGCCTCAGAAGATTGGCCTTAAAGCCAATCCCTGCTGCTCTGTGAATTGCCTGGGTGTAAAGAGAGTCAACATCACATTAGTGAATGACACAGATATTGTGGCACTAGCAACATCCCATCAGTGCCAGCTGAAGGCTTCTCAGCTATGTAGGCAAGACTGAATTTTGCTGCCTTGGTTATAAGGTGTCAGAACTGGGTCAAAGTCAGAGGATAAAGGGAAGGGACAGAGCAGGAGAGAGCAGGTGGAGAGAGCTGTGGAGGGCATGGTTTTATATATGTGGCTGGGAAAGATGAGGGCAGTGAACCTGGCACAGGAGCAGGCCACTCTTCCCCCGCCCTCATTTGGCAGCAGCTCCTGGCACTTCTGTTCTGAGTCAGCACAGCCCAAGAGCAAGTCACTTGGCATTGGCAAAGTCAGCAATGGGGCAGTAAGCATTTTTCCACCCCCAGCAATTTCTTGGCCCATGCAACTGCCCCCTTCACCTAGGCAGCGTGCAACAAATTGAGCCAAGCAAGAGAAGCCCATGGAGGCTGCTGCAGGCAGTGAGAGTCATGCATAAAGGGGAAACGGAGGAGCAGAGATGTGTGCTAAGGAAAGGGAGAAAGAATAACATGGCAGTGATTCCGTCTCCTTCTCCCACAGCGAGAACAGTGGCTTCACTGGGTGTGAGCAAAGCTGGGGAAGGGAACTGCATTAAACAACCAAGAGTCACCGTGTTACTTCATGATATAGGACTCAGAATATTAAAAATCCCTAGCAGATGAACATCCAAAATCATTAAATTCCATATAAATATGGGGCCAAGTGCCTCCCTGGTACAACTACACTGATTGTGTGACAGTAAAGGTGGGTTTAGTCCAGTGTGTTTAGATTCTGTATTATTCTCACCAGATGCTTGGGGTTTTGTTTTTCTTTATTGGATAATAAGGGCCATCCAAAACAGAATTGCTGCTTTGCTTGGGTTTCATTGAAAGAGACACTGCTAAAGGGAGAGGAAATCCCCAAAATGATACTCAGTGATTAAGTACATAGAATATAGGATTTCAGTGTTTGCAAATCCTTTTTTTCAAATGAACTTGTGGCACTAATCCTCTAATGGTATTATTTCTCTGGAATATATGCCGGATTAAGGAGTCACAATGAGGCAAAGTACAAAAATCCACGTTAATCTCTCACCAGTGGATGCTGTGTGGGATGCAACTTTAACTATTTTGTTCCAAAACGGGTTCTGTTCCTAACCTTGCCCCAGGTCTACACAGAGGGAAGAGCAGATATAAACAAGTGTGACACTGAGCACTCAGCAGATGGTCACAAACCATTTAACTGGATAGAAAGGGGAAGGCATTTATTATTTTTAAACTCCAAAAGCTGAGCCTGCCCTGTGCTGTCCATGACATACTGCAAGAAGAAGACACACAGGTCTGGAAGGCAGGAGCAGGACACATGTTCGGAAGTATGCCATGGAGGAGACAGAAACTGATGGAGCAAGGCCCAGTCTAGCATTTAACAGGGGCATGGCTGGGCCTGACCGTCGTGGTCTATTGCATGTTCACAGTACAGCCTAGGCTGTTGCAGAGTAATGCTCATGTTTCCAGCCCAGTGCAGCTGTCTTACTCTAGTTTTGCTGATTTGCTTTCTAGGAAGAGGAAACTAGGTCATGCAATGCAATGCAAAACTGCATTTCCCTTCTCTCCAGATTACAGGGATGCTGTCATGGTGCCATGAGGTATTTTCACTATCATTCAACAGCCTGAAGTGGGGAAGGAATTACTGAATGGGCAACACATCACCTAGCACACTCATGTCAGAGCATTCAGGTTAGCCCAGCCTAACCACTGTAATTGGTGCTTAACATGTTTAACAATTTCCGCAGTTCCAGGGAGCAGAGATTATCAAATATTCCCATTCCACACTCTCATTGAACGGCAGCAGGCATCGAGTGTCTTGGGCCAGCAGAGCCTGCCACATATTCACCAACACGGGTTGCCTTGTCTCTGTTTCATTCCTGGCCACTCTGTTAAGCACAAGTAAAGTGGAAAAGAGCTGTCAAATTGAATGAGTTCCTTCTCAACAGAAATGCTTGGAGTTTTTGACTGTCTGCATAGCTGAGATGCCTGAACACGTGAAGTGAATTAGCACACAGGGAAGTGATCTTTCCCAGTGGATATAGGTCTGTAGTGAGATGCTAGTTTCAGAAACTGGGACAGGACAGCCACTCCGGGTGTCAGAAAACCCTAAAGCCAACTTGGACATCCTTTTGTTTGGGAGTAGAAATGTGCCCGCCATTCCTGCAGGAAATTCAGTGTTTCATTGCAGTGCTTTTGTGCATTTTTTTCCTACTGTAAATGTTTCCCAGCGTGGTACTTCTCATGGGCAGGAGGATTTTCCTGATGTTCACTTTATGTTTTTCTCTTAATCTTGTCCTGCTGGCTCCTAGCAGCACCCTGTGCCTCACTCCACCCTGTCTGAATCATGTACCATGACACACCTCCACTGTCCTCACAGCTCAGCTTTCAACGGAGTTGTTAGTTTTGTTGACCAGCTTTATCATCCCCCACCAAAAGCACTCCAGTTTGCATATGTCTTTAGTGTAAACATATCGGTGAACGTCCCCTATATTTAAGGAAGTATAAATTATATTGCAACAGGTGCAGACAAAGGTGAGCAGGAAATGATAAGGGAAATTGGGAGTTTGCCACATGAGGGGAGACAAGAAGAGTTTGGTTGGTTTAGCCTACAAAAACAAAGACCTCACAGATTAAAAAGAATCATCAAAGCTAAAGAGATTGAGGGTAAATGGCCATGAGTATGTTTAAGCTAGAAATTGTAATGTTTGCCCTCATGGAAATCAGATTATAGGGCAGATGGACAAAAAAAGGTATAGTGAAGCTTGCTATATCTATACAATGTATCAAATGATTGCATCCTAATGTTGTCTCATGCTGCTGCCTACAAGCAGATTGTGCCAGGTGATGCTGTAGGACCTCTCCTCTCATGTTGCCTGTTGCCCTAAAATGAGCAGGAGTGTGCTAGTCCTCTGTATTCTTTTTTTTTTTTTTTTTTTTTTTTTTTTTTTTTAACTGAACTATGCAACATCCTGCTGACAGCACGGCTTTGCTTAGCCTCCAGCAGTATTTCTGAACAGTATGGACAAAAGGGGTGGAAAAACAAAGAGCTTTTCTTCAGGTAGTCTTGTAACCTGATCTGTAAGGTGACTCAGCCTCTTCTAACAACAGCTGTTTCAGGGACATGCAGAGGTTAGCGTGCAGTATCAAAGTCTGTGCTGCCACTTCCTGATTTCTGCTTTGTGAGTGATCTAAACTGGGACGTGATCAGAGCACTTAAATGGACTTCTCACACCCCTGCAGAAAGGAGAGGCCAGGGACAGCAGGCTGACATTGGGAGACAGTGCAGAGGAACAGAGGCATCGTGAAAGAGCCCACAAATGGCTTGCGCAGAGCTGCTGCTGCTATCAGATTGATGAAGACAGAAACTTGAAAGAAAGCTACATGAAAGATTGTATTAGAGAAAGAAGTGCAATTTTGTTTGCATGTCATGGCTCGCTTCTCCTGCAAGCCCTGAAAGTACTGTAAAACGTGAAAGAGATCCTCAAGTGTACCAATGGAAAAGACAGGTATGTTTCTTTGTTTAAAATTATACCCCTCTACAGCATGAAAACACAGCCAGGGTAACCAGCATTGCTTAACTGCTCAGTAAATGTGCATGTACATCTTTGTACATTGTTTTGTATAATTTTTGTACTTGTAAGAAATACAGCTGTAACAGGCTATTAAGAGCAAGACTTTAAACAATGCATCAGTTTTTTGTAGTTCTAAGTGCTCTGCCCTTGAAAACTTGTATCATGGCAGATAACTTTTAAGACAATAAGAAAATTAGCATGAATATATATACATCAGAATAAACACACCCGCATTTATATATATATGTAAACACACACACAAAGTGTGTATATAAAAAATACATTTGCTTTATTTTGACATTTTCCCCCGACCCAACTCTTGCTATAACAACATGAAAACTCTCTGTGCTGATACTTCCCGTGTTTATCTTTTTTTGAAAGTTGATGCCAGTGGCATTCTATATAACTGATGGTTATTAAAATGATCAAGTTCATGTACTATATGGATGACAGCAAATTGTAGAGTGAGTTCTGTGTGCAGATCTGTAGTGGGGAAGGGGGAATCTGTGTGAGCACAGAAATCCATTCATGAGCTCTGGTGTATTACAGGATCAAGTTCTGAGCACAGGTCATTCCCCCTGCAGTCAATAGCACACAACAAGACTTGATACATACCTTTTCCTCATGTCCTCACAAAGCAAAAGCCGATGAATGACTGGTTAGTCTTTATGACTGCTCTGTTAGAAGCACGTGTGTGTAGGTGAATGCTCGAATTCAAACTAAAGAAAAAGCAATAATTAATGTTTAGAGAAAAACAAAGCAGCTTCAGAATCACCAGATTATGCTATAGCTTGTGTAGTATAAATAGAAATATGGAAATAATTTGTTTAAATTATAAAGTCAAGCTTTAATTTACCTGTGAATTAGTCACTGAAACTGAGATCACGATAGCACTGAACTGTTCCAAACAAGCTATCTGGAGGGCTTGTTTTCTTCCAGCAGTGGCACACTCCCACTGTTCATAGCTATGATATCTGGTTGTTTTCTGCACTATCACTTCAGCTTTGCTCTAAGGTTCATGGGGTTTTGTTTGCATGTTCTCCTCTGAGCTTGGCAGCGTGTGATGTTTTCCAGGCCAGGATGTCCTTGTACTCCCTGTTGCACACCTCCTCCTCCCACCTTCTGGACTGCTGGACTGGCCTTTGGCATGAAGAAGCACTTTGGTGTCAAACTTAACCTGCCATCCCCTCAGAACGGGGACATCTCAGCCTTGCTCCTTAATGTGGCCACAAGACTGGATCTGAACCGGGAGATTAAATGCTAGGGAGGTTAGCCGGGTGGGGTGGCTTTAGGGACAGTCTGCACTAACAGGGCAGCAGAGAGTGATAGTTGGTACCATTGAGAACTGGGAGCACTGAGTCTGCTGTGCTAATACTGAACATCACCAGTTCCTTTTGAAGGACAAGAAATGAGTTCAGAGTCTGGTCTACTAAACAGCGCTTTTCTGATATGAGCATGGAGGGAATGGTAGGAAATTCTCAGTGCATCTGCCATTATGAAAGAGGGTAAGCAAGAGTAAACATTACTAAAACTAATTCTCTCTCTGTCTGCTGATTCCCTGAAAGGTGACATTCAGATCTGCCAGGATAGGCATGAAGAGGACGTCCCAAAGAGTTCCCCATTTGACATTTTTATAAAACAGTTACAAGGGAAGAGGTCCTCTCCTGGGAAAAGAAAAGAGCAGCCTTCAGCCATCAAAAAAATCTTCAGGGGCTTTGACTTTGGGAAATCTGAAGGCAAGGACAGGAGGGAAATTGAAACTGAAATAGACAACTCTGGAGCTGATGATCAGAGTGAGAAGCAAGATCTCTCTGTAGAAGGTAATTCTGGTACAATAATGAAATATATGTGCATGCATACATATTTAAATTTCATGGAAAATCAGTTGCCTTTCTTGACAGACAAAATCGTGTATTTTGTTGCCTACAGTTTATCCTTTAGCCAGGATTTGCTTCTGACTGGAACTTTATTAAGGATATGCCCTCCAATTTGATAGGTGCCAAACAAGGAGTGAAACCCATGTTGCTGAGGAGGGATAAAGCTTTTGGGTGACCTCTCTCTTGATCTCCAGTGTGAGAGGTCAGTGCTGGAGTCCGCTCATTAGTTGTAGAGCTTATCTGGTTTCAAAGCCAAGCTTTGAGCAGTAGCTTGGCTTCTTGCATTTAAGATCGGTCTCTGTCTGTCCTGCTGCTAAAGCAATCTGAAGACGAGAGCAGATGTTTCCTACCACTTGACACTCGTGAGGGGGAGGGGAAGGGAGTGGAAATTCTTAATGTATGTTATTTTGTGCACACAAGAATACTCTCTACATCCACACCAGAAAAAATGAGGCTACTTTTAAAAAGGACCTGGAAGATGAGGCTTAGAACCCCATCTTTTGTTGTAAGAGTTTTGGGTAGGTTTGGGGAAACAATGAGAGGACAGCTACTGAGAGTGGGATTGCTAATTTGTGTAGTTTTTGGCTGCTTTCTTACAGCTATAGGCATTAGATGAAATTACTCTTTTGTTAAAAAGGGTTTAGCAATGCATGTAAATGCAATTTTCCTTGCTGTACAAACTGCATGGGAGAAGAAGGTAAGAGGGGGTTGCCTTGGAAAGCCAAAAAAAGCAGGAACTGCCTTACACAGACGATGTACGAAAATGAACACAGGCTGTCATGAAGGAAGCAGCAGGTTCACCGCGCAATTGCAGGGCCACTCGGTGCTGAGTGATCAAGTGCAGACTGTATTGCAGCAGTGTGGCTACAGTGCAGGCACACAGATGTGATTGTACGACTTGTTTATCCAGAATAGCTGCAGTTCAGGGTTTTTCATGACCTGGTGGTGCAAACATCCAAAGTCACTGGCATAAGGTAGCGTGGAGATGTGCAACAGGAGATTTTTTTCTCACTCCACATCAGGAGCTTTGTAGTGATCAAATCTATAGTGATCTTGTCACTCAGGTTATTGGTCCACATTGATCAAAACTAGAGCCCAGTTTACTGACGGATTTTGTTTCCTGAAGTCTTCACCCGACAGCCACAGACAGGTTTTACACATTGTGTTAGTAGCAGAGGTAACCAGGGCCCTATTTCTTTGTTACTCAGATGGACTTTCACATCTCATTTCTGAAGCGGAGTCACCATCTGGTGAGCAGAGATTTAACCAATTCATGCAGAAAGTGGGAAAGAAACCCAACAGCAAGAATCTGGATCTAAGCAATTGTGCATTAAGTGCAGCAGATGTAACAGAGCTGGGTAAATACACATTTTATTTGACTGGTCACTTTATACATTTCTTTAATTCTTATTTGCCTACCCAATTATTCACCCTCCTCTTTTACTTTCCCTTTCTTTTATACAGGCCTGGCTTTATTTAACATTTCATCTGGTGGTCCCGGGTCCCTGAGAAATTTTAATTAATAAATTACATAAAACATGTAATATATATATTTAAATATAAAAATCATACAGGTCTGTGAAGCAGGTGAATGTCCTTACACTCCAACTATAGATAAGAAAGCTGAGGTAAAATTGTCATGGCTTTATAATGCTATATTGGTTGTAGAAAACATCTCCATATTAAGATGTATTTACATCCAGCGTGTGCAGATAACATGCAAACAATACGCTTTTTCTTTTCCTTTTTTCCAGCTTCTTTACTGCCGCTTCTCCCAGGGCTGGAAGAGATCAGCCTGTCCTGGAATGGTTGTGTTGGTGGAACTTTGAAAGCTCTGACTATTTATCTTCATCACGTAAACCTGTTAAAAGTCCTTCGACTCAACAACTGCAGGCTGACAGCTGAGGATGTCACCTCCTTAGGTACAGGATTTAATTTACATTTTCTTCCAGACAGCTTGAGTCTAATGTAATCCATCTCATCTCTTTCTACATCTTACTCCTGCTGCTTCCATGCTGGGTGATGTAAACTCCCGCTGTGAAACAGTAGAAAGAGCTTGGGCTTATGATTGTCCTTATACATTTGAGTAGCTCTGCTGAGTTCATTCCTCAGGGTATGAAGTGTTCACATTCACAAGGGCACAGAATTCAGTCAGATTTGCAGGAAATAATGTTTTCAGTTTGGATTGGTATTTTTTGGCTAGCTTTGATATCCAATGGGAGACAGAAGAACTGAAACAGAGCCAGTCATAATAGGGTCAGCTTAGGTCGTCATGCTGCAGGACAGAAGAGTGCTTATCACAAAAAAAAAAAAAACAAAAAAAAAAAAACAAAAACCAAAACAAACCAAAACTAGTCTTTTGGAGGAGACTTGACACCAGAAGTGCTGCCTTGGAACTTTATGACTTGTTTTTGCAGTCTGGGAGAAGTTTATTTGTCTGCTTCTTTGCTTGGAGTGCCTGAACCCTGCTTTCTGCAAAGCATGAGAATTAAAGGCTCTAAAGGTGGTGTTAAGCACTCCCATTCTGATGCTGAGTCACTTACCTTTAGGCCTGGAGTTTACTCTGGGGTGGGTCTGTAATGTGTGTCTAAAAGAAAGGCAAACTGGATCAACTAGGAACTAGAAAAACTACTGCTTATTCTGTAAGTTCTGAAAGCCGGTTTGAGTTAGAAAGCTGGGTTTTATGTCATTCATATCCAGTTTTTTTCCAGGAAAGGTTCAGAAATGAAATTACATACATGGTGGTAGCTCAAAAGCAGGTCATGCTATCTGTTGGGGAGCAAAAATGCATCTCTACAAAAGGTGGTGAAAATAATTGGTCTGTTTCTGATGAGGGTAAAATCTGTGTTTCATTTTCTATCGTATTTTTTCAAATTTATTTCATTCTTTTTCAAACCCTTTTCTCATACTTTTTTTTCTCTTAAGTTTTATTGTTTATATTTCCAATTGATTTATTCTGTCTGGTTCTTTTGTGCTGTTTCCTTCCCGCTTCTGGCTTGGCTTCTGCTGAGACAGACACAAGACTGATCACAGGACTTGAATTTCCAGTCAAAATGTGATGCCCTTGACATATGGAATAGCAACAGTCAGTTTGCATTGATTTTGCCTGCGATTTTGAAAATAGCATGCATATTTAGGTCAATACTGCCTGTTTGATTATGTCCACATCTATCTGTGGAAATCTGGCCACTTGCAAACTCAGTGCATTCTGCTTAGAAATCGATGCCTCAAATATAACCATAATATCAACCTCTCCTGTGTGGTTACTCAGAGCTGTGACTGTGAGAGGTGATAGGAAACCATTCCTGGAATTACAGTCCTTTATTTATCTTCTGGGTGGAAAATGTGTCTAGAATGCTATTCCTCATGTCAAACAGAAACAGGCTATCTGCAGAGGCAAAACCACCTCTCAGCTGTAGAGCATTGCTCAGAGTTCAAGAATGAGGTAATAATTTAAAATAAATGCAAAAATAAAAATTTTCTCTCAAACCTGGATATTCACTTACAACAACAGATATAATTATTTTTCTATTATAAATGTTTTGTGAAGAATTAATTATGAAAACACACAGACATGAAAGGGTTTTATTATTATTCCAATTATTAGGTTGATGACAAGACTTTAGATCCAAAATTTGTGTATGTCACTTTGAAATTGCATTTGCATATGGCCTGATTAATTGATCTTTCTTGGGAATTAGTTTATGCAAATGTATATTTGCCTTCCTCCTCTACAAAGGAAATTAAGAAGCTGGATTTTGGAGTGGGATGTTAGTATTACAAAGAAGCACTAAGACAGTTCATGTTGGCAGGCACATCAAGCCTGGAAAAGGCTGGTTTCTCAGAATGTAATCAAAATCACTGCTGTATGTGTTGACATCATGGGAAAGTTAGTTTGGGTCAAAACAATGCTCATCTTGATTCCTTATGAAGTGAGTCAGAAATTCCTGTCAGAAACAAAACTTCTACATTTCAGAAATAGTTGTAAGAGGACTTCTTTCATCCCCTCCAAAATGACCGCTGGATGTGTAGAGAGAATGTTGGAAGTTTGCCAAATAAAATAGAGCAGTATCGTACAGGACTGTAAATTCAGACTTGTCACTTGTATTGATTTCCTTATAGACTAGATTTTCTGGGTCCTGGCACAGGTCTACAACAATGGCCAAACGGTCTGATGAGGATTTGGGAACCTTGAATAAATTTCAGGTCTGTGTGTGCTGTGACAATGACTTGTGATCTCTATTGCTCCTTAGACAAGGTGAGAATTTATAAAAGATTGCTGCAGTAGCAACAATTAATGGCATACACCAATTTTCCTGTCAAGCTATTCAAAAAATAATAAATTGAGAATTAAGTAGCTATCCTTCCTCTTTAATGTATTCGAAACCTGTATTTTTGTCTTGCACTGAAATTGGTACCTAGAGTGAATCTTCTTGGATGTCTGTTACAGGAGAGGCATTTGAAATTATTTCTCAACTTGAAGAACTGGATTTATCATGGAACAGCAACATAGGTGGAAAACTATCACTTCTGACAAAAAAACTCCGGAAAGGGTGCAAGTTAAAACTTCTGAAAATTACAGACTGTAACCTGACAGCAAAGGATGGAGAATCGCTTGGTACATGTATCCATCTAGATGGACTGAGACTGGGTTCATAAAAATGTAACTTGTTTGACTTAGATGATGGCTGTATTGAGCACAATATTAGTGGAGAGTTGATTTATTTCAGGCTCTACATTATAACAGTATTTACCACACAGTGTTGGGATTTAATGCACTTTCTTGCAAAGAAGAAAGTTGTTCTCTTTAATCATGTGAGGTAGGGTTAAGAAGAATAGCAAGATCTAAACCATAGTCTGGCAGCCTCAGTGGTCCAGGGTTGCTGGATCCTTTGAGACCCTGAGTAAGTCATGTGTGCCAGAATTTCCAACATTGATTGCTTGAAGTTAAGCAGCTGAATATGTAGTTAGCCATGGGATGGGAAGGAAGGCCTGAGGGATGGGAATTTAGGCTGAGTTGGCAACCACTGATCACTCTTCCCCTCTTTCCTCTCACTTTAGCTTAATCCTGTGTGGCCTTTTGATCTGATTCAGTGTTTTATAAGATATTTTCTCCCTAAAGAGAAGCCCTTGTGCTCTCATCTCCACTGCAGGAGATGGCCCACATGCAACATCTTTTCATTAGAAATTTTTTCTTTCTCTTTGTATTCCTGCTTTTTATTCCCCTGTATTTTTGTAACTGTCCTTGTATTTTTTCACCTTTATTTTCATACAGATTTTTCACTGATTTTCTTGATTCCTATCTGATCTTTGTTTTCTGTATTTTTTTAGCTAGAACAGGAACTTAGTAAGTCTAAACCACACATACAGGCAAAACCAGCCTACCTCTTCCTGTTTGTCATGGTGCTATATTTTTCTAGGGTGCATCTGTATATATTCCAGACAATTACCAATTCTGGTTTTCTTTCCTTTTTTTCCCCAGCTGAAATTCTAAATGTGATTCCAAACCTCGAAGTATTAGATCTCTCTATCAACAAACACATTGGCTGCAGCATGAAGGTTATTGCTCAGAATCTGAAAAACCTGACAGGCTTGAAAGAGTTAAACTTACACATGTGTGGATTAAAGCAAGACAGCCTCCAGGGCTTAGGTTAGACTTTATGTTCAGAAATACTTTCATTCTGAATAAATTGTACATCTGAAAACCATTTAAGAAAGGCAATGAGGTGGGATTTGGCTGATGGTTTGGCAGTATTAATGAGCAATCGTTATTTGCTGTTTGAGGATTGATAAAAGACTACAGAGACTTTCAGCAGAAGCAGCATTTATCTTCCCTGAGCTCAAGCATATGAAAGTCAGTGGGGAGAGTCACCCTCCACACCATTTATCTGAGGCACATCTTAGGGCAGATTAATGGCTCTCTGGACATCCTTCCTCTCTCCCCAGACACAACATAGACAAGGGCACAGACAGGCTAGCTAACTTTTAACAAGCTAATCCTGTTCTCAGAGGGGAATCCAAATTCACCATTATCACTTAATAAGTGTCCAGTGAAGCCATATGAAATGTGCTTATTATCTGTATGTCTCCCTAGTGGAACTCTTGTCCATAAAACAAAACAACTGGCACTAATTAGCACATTCAGTAGTAATTTCAGCAAAAGGCTGAGGATTGAATGGATCTGAGGGATGAGCTGGCCTCACCTTCACCTGCTCTTTCAGAGAAGAATGGAGTTGCATGGGTGGGAAGCTTTGCGGTATTACTGTGTGTCTGCTGTGATTATACACTGAAGCTTAGTCCAAGAGCTTTGCCTGCAATGCCTTTTGCAAACTTTGATGTTAAAGTAAATAAACGCTAAAGCCCTGCCGTGTGCTATTGTAGCAGCCAGTGACCAGCATGCTCTCTTTTCCATTTCAGACACTGCTTTACAACACCTTGCCGAGCTAAGAAAATTAGACATATCATGTAACAAAGAGATTGGTGGTGGCTTTAAAGACTCAACAGTTCATTTTGCCAGCTTGAAAAATCTCGAAGTCCTTGATCTCCACCAATGCTGTGTAACAGAAGAGGACATGACCATTTTGTGTAAGGACATGTTGAGGAAATCCATTAAGAATGTAGGTTTTGACTTCTGAAAATATCTCAAAGGCATAAGAGATTCTGCCTGACCTAGACTAGCAGATTTCAGTCCATTTTAATTAAGGAGTTCTGAAAATCCAGTGTGGAGGATAGCTTTCTTGATCAATATGGAATGGTTTTTTTTTTTTTTTTGCTGTATCAAAGGAAATCTCATAGTGTCTGATCACATGTAGAACGGAGGACCTGAATCCACTATGATTCAGACCTATGATGGGAATGTAGGAACTGCCACCAAGCACTGCTTTTTTTGATAATCAGTAATTTTGAAAATATCCAGGGACTGTTCCCCCGCTGGTATAAATTGTCATGGATCCAAGGTGCTCATGTGCATGTAAATGTAACTGCGTAAAACTGCCGTGGTGAGATTTAAGTCAAGTCGAGAGTGATGTTAGGAGATCTTGCATTGCTGCTGCTGTGTGCTTTATAGAAAAGCTGAAGACTACAGTCTCCAGGTTGGATTGGTCCAGCTCGTAAATGCTCTTAGGAAGAAAAAGACATTCCCATTCATTCAGTGAGAGAGTTTATTTTCCCATTTTCATTATCATAACTTTTTGACGTGGTTTTTTTACTCTTTAGAACAAAAACAACAAAAAATCCCATGAGTCAAAGCCTGTAATGCCCACATCTTATTTTCCATGATAAAGAAGAGAATTTGAAAAGCTGCTGATGAAGCATTTGGAAGTACTAACTATTAGTAATAGCAATCATGATTTATTTATAATTTCTTGACCAATAGAGAATAATAACATTAATATAAAGGAGTTTCAGTTAGCAGTGAAGACATTTGGAAATAACCCCCATCTCATTTAATGTTAACTTCCCGACTTCACCTAGCAAATTTCAACAGGAAGCCATGTTCTGACAACTTTCCACACAGTATATAATACCTAATTTCTTAAACATTCCTACTGAAAATGACAAGGCTATTTATGGTCTAAAATATTACTCACCGTAAATCTGAGTGTCAAAACTTGGCCTTGACATTTGGATTGATTTACAAAGAAAAGAAATTATGTCAGGCCAATATAAAATTACATATTTGTTCTGGATTGGTGGTTGTCTAATAAATATTTCATGTTTTCATAGCCCAGGTGATACCTTTACTCTCCAGTCTTCAAGAGCTGAATTTATCCTCGAATAAAAATGTAGGAGTCTCATCTGATCCTCTTCTGGGCAGGCTCAGATTTTTACCGAAGTTGAAATCTGTGGCCATCAGCAATTGTGGTTTAGGCAAAGAGTCGTTTTCATCACTAGGTAGGAATGTTTTTTTTAAAGTGTGTCTATTCTCTGTGTATCCTTGTGGGACAAAGCACTTAATTCTCCTTTGGCTGAACTCCAAAGATCATGGTTACATTATACCACAGGACCTGAGTTAAAAAGCCTGTAAAGAAACCAGTGCTTCATGGGACCTGGTTGTAAGGGAAAACCATTGAATGTTTTCCCCCGTTATACCTGACTGAATGAAGTCCTTTTAGTCCTTTTTCTGATAGTGTGCTTTCAAATACTCCCTCATTTTGGAAAAGAAAGCAAAACATGGTTTCGTATTATGATGTAATTATAGTTTGGTTTTAACAGCATTTGCAGTTTAGTGGGGCAAAGTTTTCACTGAATGTTTTTCACCTCACTGCAGGTGAAAGTAGAAACATTCTGGGATAGAGTTAAGCATGGGGCAGTGGAAGAATTGAGGCAGTGACTGCAGCAGGGGAAAAGATATTGCACAGCCATGAAGAAAAACCCAATCTAACACAGGATATGTAAATTCAGCCTCTTGCCTACTTATTGCAAATCTCAGTGGATTAGTGGCTACACTGTCCCTTTGATAGGTGTTCCATATGGCCCATGAAATCTAAGTACAGAGGGATCTGTTAGTTACTGTGTATTGTGCACTTATATTTTCTACTACTTACTAGTGACATTGAAACCTATAGTAAAACTTGACTGCCTTCAGCAGAAGCAGTAGCAAGCTAAACTGGTCTGAGGTCCCTGCAGGAAGAGTACTATATTTATATAATTGCTATTATGTAAGAGTGACATCATGGAAATTGGTATTGTCAAAAGATACAGAACATTTCACCTTGCATGGTGAGTTCACAGCAAAAAAAAAACTGTCTTTACATTGATAGGAAATGGTTTAAAACCAAGCTGTTATAGTAAATTGACCTCAGTGGGACAAGGTCAAACCTATAACGTAAACAGAAAGATAAGAAACCCCTCCACAGAGTCCTTAGAGATTCTATAGGCAGGCCCTTCTTATATCCTTTAAAGAGCAAAGGAGACTTTTTTTTTTGTCTGACTTTTGTTAGGATAAAATAAGTCATTCTAAGCACAAGTAGGCAGCTTGTTAGGAGTCTGTTTACAGGTGAATTGCCGGTGAGCTGTCTATTGAGGCCATGTTGTTTTCTCTTAGTAAGCAGAAGTTGCTGGTCTTAATCTTTTCAGCTGAAGCTGCCCTTCACCTTCCTGAACTGAAGATCTTAGACCTTTCTTGGAATAAGTGCGTTGGTGGGAACCTAAAGCTGCTTTTGGGAGTGTTAAAGCTTGCAACGGAGATTCAAGTGTTAAGACTGAGCAGCTGTAACTTGGTGGCTGAAGATTTGGCACTTCTAAGTATGTATAACATGGTATTTACCAGCAGTCAAGGAGCCAGGGCATTGAGACCGCAATTCAGAGGGGACTTGTTCCATGGGCTGAGCACGTTTTTGCATAAATCAAATTAAAAGATGGAAAATACAGCAATATTTTTCCTAGAAATGGTTTTCATTTTGCTGAAGACTCTGTGTCCTGTACATGCACAGTACAAAAGCTGAAATGGATAAAAATGCGAAGAATCTTTTAGCAGTTTTAGCTATTAATACAAAAAGACTGCGCTGTAGGTTTTGTGTCTGTTCTTCATATCAGATATTTAAAGCTCTGAGGATTTTTATTTTGCTCAGTTGCTGGTTTTGGGTTCAGGAATTTATGAGAAATGTACATGCTGACAGACAGTAATACACGCACTACCAGCTCTCAGTCCATTAGGTCTGTTTCCGAAGTCAAACTATTATGGGAGAATTAAAACAGAAATATTTTAGCCCACCTCGTAGCGGCTGCTGAGAAATCCTGAAAAATGGGAAGCCAATGAAGGAATAAATTCTAGGGTCCTTTAATTTTTTTTTTATTTTATAATCGTCCTTGTGATTCTGTGGGACGGACTCATGGCCCCTCATTTTGGGTGTCTGAGACTGGCAATAGCTGTGTGACAGCTATTAAGGCCCTGAAACCTGAAAGCTAGTGAGATGAAGCCTGAATATTTTTGACTTTTCAAACATCACCCTTGATGAGTGTCTCCTTTGCCAACCATACATTAAGGATTCCCCTGCCCTTTAGGGTGTAGTAGGCCCATTACCCTCCCACAGTGAGAGGTGGCTGTTGCAATCACGCAACCTCATCTAGTTTTGCTTTCATCTTTCTGAATGTCCCTGTAAAGTCTGTCTGCGTATTTTAATTGGCACTCGATATAACCCCCTTTCATCTGACTCAAAGGTTTTCAGGTTGCCATACAATTTTAACCAATACTTCTGTTCCTTTTGAATTGCCATGTTTTAAATGTTGCACAGTCCTTCAGCTGTGATAAAACGATCTTTCTGAGATCAACAGCAAGTGATTTGATGTTGCTGAGGAGTTGAATCTTGCTGTTTGACTGCTGAAAGGCCTTAAATAATATGGTATTATTTAAAAAGCTTTTAAAGCAATTGCCAAGATGCATTAGTTGTGTTTATGTCTGTAATTTCTTTCAGTGTTACTGACGCAGGATGGCCATCTAGCCAGATTACAGAAGCTGGATTTGAGTTATAATAACAACATCTCTGACGAAGGGTGGGTCGTTTTCTGTCAAGGCTTAGCAGTATTCAAAGAACTCTCAGAGCTGGATGTCAGTCTTCGTCCATCGTCCTCTCGTGACTGTGGGATGTGGTTCAGCGAGTTGTTAGCAGCACTGACAAAGCTCCCTGCCTTGGCAGAGCTGGGGATGCAAAGATGGATCTTTTCAGAATCACAGCGGAAACGACTGGAAAGCTTTAATCAAGACAACAAAAGAAACATTCGTTTTGACTGTTGATGGAGGTTGAAGGTTTCTGGAAGGCCTTTCACAAGCAGGACATGAACCAATTATGAAGTGTTTTTAACTTACAAGACTGCCTGGTTTTTAGTAATGTTGTCTCACGTGAGCTCTTGAAATAGTTTCACAATTATAAAAAACTGTTGTTTAGATTCTGCATGTGCAAATAATTCCATTTAATAACATTATTTCAGATTCTCTGGGCCATGTTTATGCTACAATATATGCTTAATCTTCATGTTGTGAATACTGCAATGACTACTGTCAAAAGTGCAATGATGATTTCAGGTGGACACAGTGCAGGTTTGCCAATGGAGGGAAGTGGCTGGAGCATGTGCAAATCCAGGTGGGTGGGCAGAGTGAATATGGCCTTGTGTATATAAGGAAAGTGTCTCTAGTGTGAAAATACTTGAAATGTTTTAAATTTTAGTTTCTTCTACCCCAAAATTTTTGCCTCTTTGTGAATGCATTAAATCTACATAATTGTGAGATTTGGAAAGCATCTGAACAACTCAGGGTAATATATTAGTCCAGTAAGAAGAATGCAGAAGGAGCTGTTCTGCCTCTGCTCTGGCCCTTGGTGTTATCTCATGGTGTAGATAAGTCCTATGTACGGAATCAGCATAAAGTCAAGGTAAGAAACTGTTCATTGCTTTCTTTGGAGGTCTTAGGGGTAAGGGAAATGCTGTGGTAGGTTAAATCAAACATGTGTCCTGCTACCTTAACAAGGATTTTGGATGCAGAGCAATTTGTAAGCTTTCTGGATAAGTCTATGCAAAGATTTCAGGATACTTCAGGGATGCTCCTTCTCATCCTGAGCTGTTTCATTCAGCCTTACCCAGACTGCACTTTCTGTACAAACTCCTTTATGACATGCAGCACAAAACCAAACTTCCAGATCTAAGAGTCTGACCTAGAGCTTCTGAAAGCCAGTGGGAGTTCCCACAGTGCTTTCATGCTTTCTCCATTCAGGATTAATCCATTAACCTTCACAACACCTTGTGACATGCACTGTGTTCTTATCCGTATCCTAAAGATGAAGGAAATAAACAAAGTCAATTATTCAAAGCCACAGGGCAGCTTCTAGCTAAGAGCAGAGCACCCTGCTCTGTGCCCAAGACTTGTTAGAATAAGCACCAACTTGAGACATGTAAGTGGCTCCTCCTTTGTTTATTTGATAATTTCATATTTGGTATTTTATTGTATTTGCTTACACAGAGCCAAATTCTGGCATAGTTACCCGTGTCATGGAGCATGTTAACCCACACGTGAGCTCAAGGACTTCAGTGGGATTATTCATTGGTAAGGTATTTTAGGAAGTAAAGATATTAGATCTGCCCACTGAGTGAGGAGTCTTAGAGAAATCCTGAGGCAGCTTGAGGGATAAAGTAACTGTTCAATTAGCCCTGAGTGTATCTCATGCTGCAGCAATCTCCCGGAGGAGGGGCACAACAGGATCATTCAGTGATACTCTCCTAACTTGCTAGGACCCCTCTCAGCAAGTTCTCCCATGCAGATGCAGATCAATACTCAGCTTTCAGTCTGGGTGACCCTTCAAACATCAACTTCTGGCTGGTCAGGGTTGTAACTAGCAGCTGGCTGTGCTGTGCTGATACCTCTTTATCATTTAATCCATTATTTCACGTGAGGGTCTCCATGGACTTACTGGTTCTAGTTTCAGTTCCACTTGAAAAGTGCACTTGGCTCCCCCAGCTCTAAGAAATGTGAGATGAAATGGAATGTCTTGGTCAGAGGTAGCAGGAAATTGCTGCAGTGTGGGATCAGTTATTTTCTACAGAGATCATCAAAATCTGAAATTAAGCAAAGAGCTTCTGTTTCATACAGGGATAACAAGAGAGACTTTCAAGCAGTGACTCAAGCCAGGAGAGTTATTCTAATGTGAAAGTACCGTCATCTCTGTTTAACAGCAGCACACCAACCTCTTCTCTTAATCGCTTGCCTTCCTGGGACTTTCATCCTCAAATCTGCCTTTGGTCCAGCTGGGAAATTGTTCCTTTATCTGTTCTGTAAGTCTCACTGAATTACTCATTTTCCACTGGAACCTCTCTCTCTAATTCAGTAAAGCAGCTGGCCCGTGTTTAATGTCTGGTATCTGTTGTAGTCTTACTGACTGAACTGGACTTCGGTGTTTGGGTTTCTGGCTTTGTCGTAGGTGGGTTCCTCATTCTCAGCTCCAGAGCACAGTACGGACTCACTGCTAGCAATCTCTCCACTTGCTGTTTGTGGTCCCCGTCTCAGTCCTTTGCCCTCTTATGATTCTGTCATACCTATTGTGCCACTAAAAAGCTTTTATTAGATCACTTCTATTAAATGTCCCATCTATCTGCCAGTCTTCCCAGAAACCTCTCTCTTCCAGTGATTGCCTCCTTGGTAGTCTCTGAATCATCCTTCTCTCCATTCCTCTTTGCCTTCAGTTAGGGTGAAAAAATTCCATAAGACACTTCCAAACAATCAAAACAGCATCAGTTACATAGTAAAATGGAAAACCAAACCTGAGCCGTCCCACCTTTCTGCACTACCAGCTCTCTCCTGCCAACAAGCATGTTAACGAGATTTCACCAGACCCAAAGAGAAATAAGATCCATACCCTGGATGCAGATGTAGCTGCAGCATTCAGAAAGTGCTACCTGGAGGTGGAGCTCTAGGAAGAGCTGGCTGTCAGTGACCGTGCCTTCATCACCTCCTTCAGGATGCCACCACCTTCTCTGAGGCAACTCAGACAAGGGGAGGCAGAGCAGGACTGCAGTTCCTACCAGCCAATTAAACTAAATAAAGGGTTCTGCTCCCACCCACCCTTGCATTTTGAATCTGCACAGTGGCCTGTCCCAGTCTGGCTCTGTGCTTTATGTGTGCTGCAAACAAAACTCTGGAGGGGTTTAAAGAGTAACTAAGCAATACAGAATAAAAACTAGGCAAGGACATCAGATGCCTAAGACAAACAGCTATTTGCAAAGTGCAGTGGAAAGACGTGGTTGCATATAAATTTTGCATACTAGAATTATAGTACAGAGTGTTTGTCATGGTTCTTTTGAATAACAAGGGTGTTACGACATGCCAGGACCCAGAATCATTGCAGCATATTGCATTCTGCAGATGCTCTGCTTTCAAGTAAGCCTGTCATATACAGACATTTTACAAACTGTCACCAAGGTATCTCAGAGATGAGCTGAGGATATGTCAGCTTGCAGTTGTTCAAAATACTGTAACTACAGATTGTCAAAACATCAGTGAGCAGTTTTGCAAAAGTGTAGAGATACTTACAAAACAGCTTTTTACACCTCTGTAAGGCAGGATGGTAATGCAGGTTCTGGTAGAAGTGCATATGTTCTGACTGCTTGGAATCCTCCTCCATATTTCCCAACAAGGTATTGATCATTTCTGAATGTAAAACTCATTAAATAACCTCTAGTAGGTGGGGCCACAAATATTATTTCACTCTAGATATGTCTGTACCTCACTGACTGAAAAACAGATTTCTAAGAATTGCATGTAAAATACTTTGGGATTCAGAACAACAAACACTTAATCCAACCAGATTCCTACAGATCAGATTAATTTCCAGTTAATCAGCTGCCTTTATGCTTTGAGATAACATACATTTAGAAAGAGAAATCTCAAGAATTATTTCAGAATCTGCCAATGTTGACAAAACCACAAAAACAAACCTCAGAAAATCATCTGTTTTCATTGTAACACTCACTGATTCAAATGCTTTAATACTGCTTGTCTCCTACTCTCTTATCTCTCACATTTGCCCTTCTTGTAAATGGAAAGAGCTCTGTGCAGTTTGCTGCCCATAGATCACTTTTTGGCTCCCGTTCCTTTTACAGGCTTATCTTTTCCCTTTCCTTTTCCTTTCTTTTCCTTCTTTGTTTCTTTTGTTAGATTCGAGGAAGGTCCAATCCCCATCTTCTTAATCAATGCACGCCACAAACTTTGGATCTGAAAAAGAGAGAACAACAATCTGGTTACCTGGTGAAAGTGGGTAAAAGCAAACAGTCATGTGGAACAGTATTACTGATGGATATTCTTGATGCAAAAAGCCAGGCACATTGTGGTCTCCAAAAAACCCTTTTATTCTCTATTAGACTACATTGTTTGCAGCTAAGATAGACTGCCAGCCACCTGACTTTTCTTTTACTCTGTGTGTTATTTTTTTCAAGAGGAATTTCTCACCAGGGAGGCCATTAACACTGTAGTCCTCCAGACCCTTTGATTAGAGTAGTAAATTACTATGCCTACACATCTTTCAATGTCACCTTTTAGTCAGAAGAAGAGTTTGGGAGAATCACATTGGTTCATGAAGAAATTACAGACATTACAGAAAGAGAGGAATGGTTTAGGTTCAGAAGAATCAAAGTCTGATGATTTGCCTTTCCTTCCTTCTTGCTCTGTATTTTTTCCGAGCAAATTAATTCCATGGTCCACTGGTGATACAAACTGACGTTCTTTTGTGGAAAAAAACCCAAGCAAAACAACACAAAAAATGTGTTTTGTTGAATGTGTTCGCACAATGGATCTTCAACTCTCTACAGTCAAAATATAGGAAAATGCCACCTGCAGCTAGTTTCGTCTGTAAGCAGTGCCCTGACTTAGAGTATCTGCCTTGTTTTAGACACACTAACCATTTCCCTTCCACTGGACAAGGAACTAAGGAAAGCTGCATTGCAAGTTGTAAGGGCTGTTCTGTGCCTGCTGACTGTGACCTGGTGGGGCAGTGACAAGCTTCTCAAACATTTTTGAATGATGCCCAGTGCTGTATTTCTTGTTGGTTCCCTGTATCCTACCTTAACATGATCAGTGATAGAAGTACTGCTCTGCCATAGCTGACGCAAATGGTGGTTTAAGACATTTTTGATGTTGCATAGAGTGCCCTGTAGGTTGTTCTGCAAAGTATCTATTACTAAAAACACAGCTTTGTATTTATACTGTGGTGGCTTTCTTAACACCCCTACTGTTAAGTAAATTACATTTTTACGCCTTTTTTGCCGTAAGTATTCCCAGATGGCGGATGTC